ATCCCAAGTACCCAATGCTGTGTTGTTTAATAATAGAGACATTAATAATTTAATAATGGAGACTTTAATATTTCCAGTTAGATTTAACTTATTAGATTATATAGTTTATTGAAAATATAAGTAGCTTATGTGAAAAGGAGTCTTTATTAATTATCCAAACCCCCCACACTCACAGAGCTGCATAGGAAAGCAAATGTCATCACAAACTAGAAGTACTCCCCGGGGGGCCAACCACTTAGACTACTGGCCCATTAAGCAGATTTCTCCCAGCACCTTTGCTCATGTGCCTGATTCATTTCACTTTCAGTTCAGCTATGAGGTTTTCTGTGCAGCTACTCAAGTCCTTCTACGAATGCCTCTGTGGGCCAGGGTGGGTTGGAAATTAATTTTAACACCTCACCATCAAAGAAGAAGGAGGCTGCCAGAGGTCAATACAGCTCATTTCTGCCTGAGATGAGGACCCGGAGACAATGGTGAATCCCTATGAGAATGATGGTAGGGGAGCTAAGGAGAAGAAATTGTCTTGGGGTGTCTTTAAAGAAGAAATTGTAATTTGGGAATATGCAAAATTTGCTTAAAAAATACGTTACATGACTTTTACATTGTAGGCACTGTGTATATCTATATGGATTTAGTACCCCTAACCCTGAGAGGTGGGTAGGGAGGTGTAGTACTCAGAAAGCCCATTAATCAGAGTGCTCCATGGGCCTGCCTGAATACTGCTATAATATGTATGTAGCTTGGTACTTTTTTGGGGTCAGTTTTTCTGTTTCCACCTGTGCCCGTGTTCCATTTTTCTATAGTTATCCCACTTGGGACTTGTTTGTAATGGCATATCATAAGCAAAGCTCTGAGTTCCACCTGCTCCAGGAGAATAGTGGACTCCCTTCTCCTTATGTACTAGAATTAAATGTAATGGAAGAATTCCTATCGATTGCCCAGACTTGCCAGGTGCTTGAGGCATTCTGTGATATGCTTAGTCCTTTGGAAAGAGAAAGTTGGGAAGGGCTCAAAAATAAGGTGGTCTGGGGCTCAAATGAGTTTGTTGGAAGGGATTAGAAGCAAGGATGAGGAGGAATTGAAGGAATGCTTTCAGGAAAAAAGGTGTAAGTAGCTTTATTTTCCCATGTTATTAAACTGTGAAAATCTGCTTTTATTAAACTAGCAACATGCACTTTTGTAGTATCTTGTTTAAGGTCTTTGGTCTTGGCAGCAGAATTTGATATGGATATTATCAAGTTCTTGATAGCTTTACACTTGATGTCAGCAACCAGTTAGATAAGTTACAGTCCATTAGTACCCTCTGCTAATTAATTACAAGTGAAGTGCACTAGGCACTTCCTGAGCAGTAGGAAAAGGATCTAAAAGCAGGAAGATCGACTAGAAAATAGTCTCTTACAACATGAAAGACTACATTCAAGTTCCTGCAGCAGAACTCGACAAGCCCTATGAATTGACTTCGACAAGGGAATCAACCCCATTTCTGTGGCTAAGTAGGTCCAGTGACTTCATTTTACTTGTTCTTGTGATGTTTACAAGTACAGTATTCTCTTCTGTAAAGTAGTTAATAGTGTTTCTTTCGTGATTACTGATGCCACGGTCATTTTAACCTTATGTTATCATCAATATGAAATCTCAGTAAATTGAAAAATTTTAATTCTGGTTGCATTTATCTTCTCTGTAGTTGGTAGCTTTTCATTCATAATAAGTAGTCAAGAAGGTGTTCCTGTTTCATTTTGGGTTTTCTGGAGAAACGCACTATGATCATTTACTTCCCTGCATGGTAGTGCATTCCTAGTCTGTGAGTCAGACTCACTCCTGCAGTCATGGTCATTGGTCATGGTTTGTGGAGAGCTAAAATGTTTAGGTTAAAAATTGTCTTGTGCTTGCATGTCATATGGCAGTTACCCTGTGAAGTCATCCAGTCTGGGCTGGACTCGGCTCCACTGTGCTCCTTACCAGCTGCGTGATATTGGACAGATGGCCTCCCTAAGCCTGTTCCCCATTTATCAGAGGGAGATGGTGGTACCCGCTTCAGAGAGTTGGTGTAGGAGTGAGGAATGTTGGAAAATGCTTAGTATAATGCTGCACACGTCGTGCTCAGAAAGTAACATTTCACTGCCCCCCCCCGGCCCCGCCCCAAACTGGTACTGATACTGTTTCTGAAAACTTATTGTGAACCATATACAGAATTTGTTGAGTTTTTTTTTTATTCAAGTATAGTTGGCATACAATGTTACATTAGTTTTTAGGTGTGATTTTTAAAGATTAGTTTACAGCAAAGGTTTTCATACTGTCAGGAAAATTATCCCTAGGGCCCTCAAGCACCTTCTGCTTACCCCTTGTAGTACTTCTTTTATTGTATTACTATAGCTACTATTTTATTGAATGCTTGCTATATGTTGTACTCTTTTCATTTTTAATTTTCCCAGTAAGTACAAAGAAGGCATTATTATACCATTTAACTGATGAGGAAACATAGGCGTAGTAAGATAAAGTAACCTGCCCACCCAGCTGGACAGCAAGAGACCTTGGGGTCACCCCTGGCCTGTCTGACTCCAGCGCCCTCCCTTTAACCGCATACTGCCTGTGTGTCATTTTCCTCTTCACTCCTGTTTCTCTCAGTAGATCTAAGCTTTCTGAAAGTAGGAGCTGCATATGGTGTGTATTCCAAGTTCATATCTTTTCTAAAACCTCTTTAAAAGCAATGTATGATATCCCAAAGTGTCAATGTAAGTGAAACATAATAGCTATTAAGAATCTTTTCTTATTGAAAATAACATAATTTACCATTTTGACAGGGAGCTTGAAGCAGTTAAGACTTGTTTCTCAGTCCCTTGCTGGTCTCTTTGCCGTGATAGCAATTTGAGTGTACTATATTTGGCCTTGCATTAGTGTTAGCAGAGTATTCATCTTAATCTTCTTATCAGGTTGCAAGCTTTTTTCATCATTGCCATTACCTAGCTTGGTGCTCTGCATAATAACCACTCAGTACATATTTGATTTTAGTTTATTTCAGTGTATTAATATTTATCTGAAGTATTTTTATACTGATTGTAGTAGACAGAGAAATACGACTTTTGCTTACTTGGCTTTAACCTCTCTCTCCTCCCCCCCTTCTTTTCCTCTAGTAATAGGACCAGTGTTTACTTTTGGATTCTAAAAAAGTTCAGGTGTTTTGGTGTTCATTAATCTGAAAAATTCCTCAATGAACTCTTTGGAATTTTTTTTCTTCTGTTAAAGTAGAAAACATCCTGAACAATAGAGAGCATTTTATATTATCAGCACATAGTGCCAAGTATATATTGCTGAAATTAATTCACTATTTTTTTTTTTAAAGATTTTATTTATTTACTTGACAGAGAAGACAGCGAGAGAGGGAACACAAGCAGGGGGAGTGGGAGAGGGAGAAGCAGGCCTCCTGCTGAGCAGGGAGCCCGATTCAGGACTCAATCCCAGGGTCCTGGGATCATGACCTGAGCCGAAGGCAGATACTTAACGACTGAGCCACCCAGGCGCCCCTCACTATTTTTTTTATATATAAGTTTATAAACTCAAGGACAGGGATCTTGTCTCTTATACTTTCTTGTATCTGTGGCATCTAGCATGGTCTTAGGCACATAATCGGTACAGATGAAATACTTGGGTGTTGACTGATTTGACCACTAGTACCTCTGGTGCTGTGGGAAGAGCATGGGGTTACAGAATTAGACACTGGATTCTCACCCAGCCATTGCTGTTGAGTAAGTTACTTGGTCAGTTCTACTGCACTTCCCACTCCTGTAAAGTAATGGTAGTAATACTTCACTAGGTTACTAGAAATGTTATTATATATGCACAGTGCTCTATGATCACTAAAGGTACTGTACAAATCTTAAGTCTCTCTTGTTCTTATCACTTTATTGACTCTGCTTCACTGCAAATCTGGACTCAGTCTTACTTGTTTTGGCCAGTGCTGGGTGATCGGTTGACACTTGGTATATGAATGCGTGCATAACTGTGCATACTTCAATAGCAAAGTGAGATCTGGAGAAGTTGTCTCTTGCATAACCTTACTCTGTGAGATAGTAGTCTGCTTAGATCTGAGTTCTTTTAATTTCTAGCTCAAGCAGTCTTTCATATCATATTTTGGTTTCTAAATACATGCAAATGCACACTTCCACAGAGACACACATACTCCAGTTTCATAAATCATGGGAATAATTTTATAGTGGTTCCAGACCAGCATTCCTGTTATTAGTTTGCAGGACAAGAAAACTAATTGCTCTCACTTACATGGTTCTTTCCAGATAGCTGATGTGCTTTACCCAAGGCCATGTAGTCACTTAAGTGAAAGAATTGGAATGAACCCAGATATTTTGCATGTCAGCCCATTGCTCTTTCCAAGACACCAACACCTAAAACTATATAGAGCAGCCTTTGAGGATTTTTGAAATTCCTGGACTTTCCTTTGAGGTTGTTTCCCCCTCTAGTGTAGTTCCTCATATGATGCATTATGTAAGTACACGTATTAATTGTTTCCGCCAGCCACAATGGAACAGACTGTCCTCCAAGACCACTGTGGCTGGGGCTGTGAGTGGATTGGGCCAGGCAGTGGGAATGTGGGTCTGGAGGATGCAGAAGGTGGTAGGAGACAAGATTAGATAGGAAGCAAAGGGGTTAGAGATTATGTATTTGCCTTTATAGGGTGAATTTGGTAGGTTGTGTGTGTATGTACACACACGCACACACATGCCCCTAAATGATTTGATTTGGAACTTTGGAATAATTCATTAATGTATTCACTTTGACCTATAGTGTCTTTGGGGGAGGGGAGAGGACATTTTTTCATTTCTTAGTCAGTAATGGAATTCGCATTCCTGTTTTCTATTGGCGCCAGTTTGCGGTTTTTCTTTTTATTTTAAATAACTCATTAATATTCAGAAACCTGAATTTCTAGGTCAGTTTTACAGGATGAATAATCTTTGTACTTTGTGATTTTATTCTTTTTTGAACAGGAGTGTGTTGCTGCTGTTCTGCTCTGCGTCCTCGCTACAAACGCCTGGTGGACAACATATTCCCTGAAGATCCAAAAGTAATTTGATCTGCATCTACTGATCCTTCTCTTTGCTGACCCATCCTTGCCCCCTGCTGACCTCCCTAAGGTTTCCCTAGTTTCATTTCTCTACTTCTACCCCTAAATCTCACCATGTACACTACTATTTTTATATTTATCTTTTTTTTTTTTTTTTTACTTTTAAATGACCCATGCTTGCTTGTCTAATTTTCAGATCCTTTTCATAGATTAGCAAAACATTTGGAATGGTGGACAGATGGTGTTCTCTTATCTAGATAGTTCCTATATTTAAGTAATACTTTTCAGAAATTTACGAGCTAGTGCCAGATTATTTGTACAAAATGCTAAGAATACAACTGTGAACACAGACATGGTTTTCTGCTCTCGCTGAGCTCACAGACAAGGAAATCGGCGATTATAATATTGTGTGAAAGAATGCTATGATAGAGAGATGACGCACAGGGCACTTCTGGAGTGGGTCGGAATGACGCCTAATGTGGGCCTGGAGAACAGAGACCTTAAGGAAATGAAATCTAAGCTAAGATCTGAAGAGTAAATAGTTTGGCCACACAATTTTCAGAAGAGAAGTGAGAAGTAAAGGAATAATATTCTAGGCAGTTCTCTTTTTACTTAAATGCTTGGGAATTTTTTATAACCATTACTTTATTATGGAAGATTACTGTTTTCAAAGCAACTGGATTTGATTGATTTTGCTTGACACTGTCCCTAAGTTTTCCAAGACTCCTTTAGTCTAGTGTTAAGTGGATATGAACAAAAAAAATGTTAGATGGGTTTAATTGCTTTATTTTAAAATGTAGCCGGGACACCTGGCTAGCTCAGTCCACAGAGCATGTGATTTTTGATCACAGGGTTGTAGGCTCGAGTCCCATGTTGGGTGTAGAGATTACTTAAAAATTAAAAAAAAAAAAATGTTTACCAAAAAAATAAATAAAATATAGGCAATTATAGAAACCTTTTGGTTATCTTAACATTTATATATTTCATGATATATGAAATATTTATTTTTAATCAAATTTGATTTAAACATTCAGCCATTTAGAAGAGGTTAATTTGTTACATACTATTGGCTGCCAGATACCTGGATAATTTGTGGCTGATTAAGCCAGAAGATATGGTACCTGCCTTTAGTAGCTTTCCATCCATTGACTGACATAAAGCAACAGCACACTAAATATTAAATCCTCATGCATAAGTCAGTAAGCAAAATTTTAAGTAAAACAGGTGGTAAAGTTTTTGCCTTTAAAGCAGAGAGATTTTACTGTGGGTTGGCAATCTCTGGGAAGCATTCTCGGAGGAAAGGAGATTTGCTGAGCTTTGAAGGATGTGTGCCATCTGGAGAAGTGAGATTAGTCTCTTTGTTGCAAGTGAGGGGCCTCTAGAGAAAAGGCAAAGGGGTGCAAGAGAAAGCAAGGGGTACATTTGAGATTAAGAACCTTCAAATAAAGGTTTATATAGCCTCATTGTAGAGGGTATTGGGTGATAATCGTGTTGACCATGATTTCTGATTTGAAATTCCAGTCATGTCATTTAATAGACTGAGTGTTCTGATCATTGGTGGAGGCCAGATTATGGAGGAATGTGAATGACAGACAAAGCTTCTCCTTTATCTACTTTAATTCCTAGGCAGTGAGGAAGTTTTGAACACTTGTGACCATGGGAGTGATGACAGGTAGAGAGAATGGTTATAGAAAGAATATTTTTGCCAGGTATTGATTGATTGATTGCCGAGTATTTAGATAAGATTTGTTCAAATGGAGATCTGTAAAATAAGATTTAAAAAAATTTACATAAACCTTGCATACATGTGGCAATCATAACCCATTTGACCTTATTTGTTATTTTTAATTTATTGACCAACAATAAAAAATCACGTAGTATAGCCAAAATAGATCAGGCATACTACCCAGTATACAGAGGTCTACATGTTATAGTCCCGGCCTTCAAAGAGTGATCTAGTGAGGAGGACCAAACCATGTTTTAATAATTACTGGCCTTGTGATCATGGGCAGGTACCTCAGTTCCTCATCATGAAATGGAAATTATAAATAGTTCCTATTTCATAAGGTTCTCATGAGGATTAAATGAGTTAATACAATTCTTTGCTCACCCTTTCTTCCCTAGTGTCAATGACAGCGCCTGGCACATGGTTAGCACTTGATGAGTATTTGCTTAATGACTGAAAAACAGTATGATAAAATATAATAGAGATAAGTACAGTGAGCTAAAGGAACATATAGGAGGAGCCTCTTACCCAAGTTCTGAAGGGATGTTGGGAGGTTGCACTGAAGGCTTTTTGGAGGGCATTGAGACCTGCAGGATGAGTAGGAGTTACCCAGGTGAGCTAGAGAAGCATCCCCAGGCAGAGGTGAGTTGAGTGAGAGGAGTCATGCACAGACTGTATGATTCCATCGATGTGTGCTGCTTTTGATAATGCTGAAAAGCAGAGTGGTGATTGCCTGGAGAGGAAGACAAGGACTGCAAAGGGCATGAGGAATCTTTTGCAATGATGGAAATGTTTGTATCTTGTTTTTTGGTGGTGGTTTCACAGATATACAACTGTCATAGTTCAAATTATAGTTTATTGTGTATAAATAATTCCTCAATAAAATTAGTGAGGGATTAAAAAAAAGGGGTGAGAGGCAGTCATATTTAAGTAATGATGTCGAGGAACTAATACAGAGGGAGAGGTTAAAAAACCAGGAAAGAGAGAGGCTAACTTGATGGAGCCAGATCCTGGGCCATGTGAAGCAAACAGCAAGAACATAGGCAAACTGATTTCTCCAAGACAAGTCCTCCAAAAATAGGGCACTTTCACTTTGCAGGGGCAGGGTTTCTTCATTCAGGTTCTGTTGACCTTTTGATCCAGTTGGTTCTTTGCTGTTGGGTTATCTTGTGCATTGTGGGATGTTTATTAGCATCCCAGGTCTCTACCCCAGATGCCAGTACACCCACCGCCCAGCTGTGACAATCCAGAATGTCTCCAGACATTACCCTGGGGAAATGAAGTCACCCTGGTTGAAAACCACTGGTCTGGAGGGCACTGAGGGCACTGAGAAAGCAGGGGTGTTTTTGCCAGTAAATTCTAATCTGATGACTTCCATCTTCTCTGAGAAGGAGAGGAGCTCATTTGATGTCAGAGAGGGAAGAGAGGCGGCAAAGTAGCAAGTTTGAGGAAAAACAAGTAGGTAAAAAGTAGGTTGGCGATGGAATGACAAAATAGCCAGAGAATGTGGAGGGGACAGTTGAAAATGTAGATTTATAAAATTTTTAGTTGTAGATTCACCACTTAACATAATTTTTCTGTCTCCCTTCCCACCTCCTCTAACAATCCTAAAAAGCATTTAGTTATTTGGACTATATATGACCAAAATGTTTAGGCTGATAACTGATTTGTTGTCTGAGGGTGGGGAGTACCGGCAGACCTGTGGCCTGTCACCTTTTAGGGGGCAGAGACAAATGAAAGTTTGCCAATCCCACACTGGGGGCCTCTTGTTCTTAATATGTTGGCTAAACAGAGATTCATGCAGTTCTTAATACCTTCTCATTTATTAATTAAAAGAAGGCTTTATAATGCTGTCGGCAAGTTTGGAATCATTTTAACATGTTCACTGTTGTATATGTAAAGGAGTAAAATAGGCTTAACAACATAGTGTAAAATTTTAAAATTGAAATAAATTTGTTTGAAACCTTTTCACTAAAATACATCCCATTCCCTACATATTGCATTTAGTTGAGCTGTTTCTCTATTTAGGAAGGTGTTAGAATAATTCATTGCTTGTGAAGGTATATTTAAATATTCTGCCTAAATGGGGGCATTTCTTTAACTTTCTGAAAAGTCTATATCTAGAATGGTGAATATTTACGGTAAGGAGGTTATAGCCAGAAAGGTTCAGCATAAATAATGGATTAATCACGAATCCCAAATGGGGACATGTGAAGCAAACAACGCTTAGAAATAAAAAATAACTATGAAAATACAGATAGCCTATTTATCTTGCTGTTCTTCTTATTTTTAGGATGGCCTTGTTAAAGCGGACATGGAGAAATTGACATTTTATGCGGTATCTGCCCCAGAGAAACTGGATCGAATTGGTTCTTACTTAGCAGAGAGGTTGAGCAGGGATGTTGTCAGACATCGTTCTGGGTAAGGAAACTAATTGCTGCTAATACTGTATCTCTGAAAATTCTTCCTAAGCTAAGTCATTCTGTACATTGTTTTGTCATCTAGTCATGCAAAGATAATATGTGGAGGATAAAACATTGTAATATTTTACAAGGAAATGTATACCATATAGATGTTTGCAGCTTTTATTACTTTTCTGATGGTCATGTTTTAAGAATAGACACATGTGAGTTAACAGAGTTGCCTTTAGCCTAAGCATCCATTAATTTTTGGTATTTTAATATTTCTTTAATGGAAACAGTAGAAATTGACTCCCTTAGTGTATTTATCAGTAGAATGATGAAAAAGAACGTTAGGCTTAGGTATTAAGGTCCAGAGAATGTAAGCATGCTGATTTGGACCTGCACTAGCTATATACCTACCTATAAATAAAAATCTGCCATCTTACTCCATTCATTATGCTTGAACAGTAGTAACTTGGATAATTTGGATTATCAGTACTTTTCCATATGCATTTTATGATCCTCATTTCTTAGAGTACTCCATTCTTCAAGTGATACTGGTTTTCCCTACTTCCATATTGTTACCTCTTAGAACATTTTAGTGAGTCTTACGGTTATTGAAACAAAGTTATCTAAAGTCAATTTTAATTTTTAGTATAAGCTTTAAAATCTGATGAATTGTAAGGTTAAATTTATGAGATGTTTCCTTATGATACTCTGTTGTTGCTGGTAATGTTTTTTACACTCATATTTACAAATACAAATAGATTATATTGGAAACTTAGGCACATTGCTTATAGTAACTCTTTTGGGTCAGATACAAAGATAGATGGTTAGAAGTCTGGAAAATAGAAAATGTCCATGTTTCCAAAGAAAAATATACACAAAGCTAATATTAAAGAAGCTTTGAAGAGTTTGGAAAGGAGAAGACAATGGGGTGGTAGTACAGTATAGTTTTTGTATACTTCAGCATGAGGGTTATTATATAATCGGAGATCATTAGTGTTTGTGAGAAGTGAGATTTCACTTAGGAACTACTAAATTTGCCTTTCTCTGTTCTGTGCATTTACATTTAATTATTCCAATGAAAAAGCACCTAAGAGAATTTGGAGAGCTAGAAATGCTTTGACATTATTTTTCTCTTACACTTAGGTATGTTTTAATTGCTATGGAGGCGTTGGACCAGCTTCTTATGGCTTGCCATTCTCAGAGCATCAAGCCATTTGTAGAAAGCTTTCTTCATATGGTAGCAAAGCTGCTAGAATCAGGGGAACCAAAGCTTCAAGTTCTTGGAACAAATTCTGTGAGTAAAACTGTTCTCTAACTTTCAGGTTAATTAGCGTATCTAGACTTGATATCTTCTTAGAATGTTTTTACCCGATAAAAACAAATGCTTTGTTCAGGGCGTGTGGACAGACAATGCAGATGTAGGTGATTAGAACACTCTCTCTCGGGGTGCCTGGCTCATTCAGTCAGCAAAGCATGCAGCTGGATCTTGAGGTTGTGCGTTTGAGCCCCACTTGGGGTATAGAGATTATTTAAAAATAAAATCTTAAAAAAAAAAAAGAACACTGTCTCTAGCTTTTTCTGTTGCTTCTTGTGAAATCTGTGATACTAACCATTCATAAGGAGCATTGGAAAATCTGTTGGCCATTAAGTAAGTTCTTCATACTCAGAGGCAATAGGAGCTCCTTCTGTAAACGATCACTTGGTCTGTATTCTTACTTGTGACTTTCAGTAAGTGAAAAGAGAATAAAGTTTCTCCTTCTAAGAATTTTCCAGAACATTTAACATTTTAATGGTCATTTAAAACATTTCTGATTTATTTCAAAGTAATATGCTTTTTGTAGTGCATTTGGAAAATCAAGAAAACATGGAAGAGTAAACAAGACACCTGTAATTCCAATATCCGGAAGTAATCTTTTAATATTTTTCTTTTTTTAATATATATTGGAAAGTGAGGAACATATTTTAGGTAGACTTTTGTGTGTGTGTTTTTTCCATTTACATTTTTGAGCATTTCCTGATACAATTTAAGGTTTATTTACTTATTTATTTATTTTTTGCAACGGAATGTGAGTTTTAATTTTTTCTCTGGGATTCTGGAAGATTCAATTCTTCATGATTTCACAGTATCTCTGTCTTGTTTGTTTGTTTGTTTGTTTTTCCACAAACTGATGCTTTCAAAAGACATACTGTTACCTGGGCTGTTTTATTTTTCATGTCTTTTTTTTTTTTTTTTTTT